TCTATATTCCTATCCTCCAAATTCCTAATTCTGTCCTCCATATTATCGACCCTACTGTTCAGAGAGTCCAGATTTTTCTTAATCTCCTCCACTGTGTTCTTCATCTCCAGTATTTCTAATTGGTTCTTCTTTATAGTGTCAAGCTCTTTTGTGACATAGCTCCTGAACTCATTGAGTTGTCTATCTGAATTCTCTTTTAACTCGTTGAGTTTTTTAATAATGGCAGTTTTGAAACCATCGTCATTTAGGTTATAGATTTCATTGTCTTTGGCATTGTTTTCTGGGTGTTTATCATTTTCCTTCTGTTCTGGAGATTTAATATATTTTTTCATACTGCTTGATGGTGTATATTTGTGCCTCCGCATAGAGATAGAGTTTAGTTGCTGCTTCCACTTGTTGCGATTGGTGTGTGTGGGGGGGGGGGCAGCAGTTTAGACTGCAACAACCAGGAACCCTGTCAGCTGTTACTGACTGGACCTGGACACCTCCTCGTAGTCACAGTGGTCCTGTGGGGTCCCTTGTCAGTTGTGGGGCCAATCGCAAGTGGGCCTCAGGCTGCTGGTGCCTACTGTTGGAGCCCACTTAGACGCGCTCCCTCCTTGTGGTCTGCAGCGGTGTTGTGGGCTTTCCCAGCAGCTAGGAGCAGGATCACCTATAATCGCAGCTTTGTCCCTGACAGAGCCCACTAGATCACACTTGTCCACTATAGGTCCCAGCAGAGCTATGGGTATCTTCTGCAGTCTGTCGTTAGCTCACCTAGCTGTGCTACTTTTGCCCCAGGGCCTTCCTGCCTTGCAGTTGCCAGTCGGGACCTCTCCACTAGTGCTGTGCAGAGGCTTTAGCTGAGGCTGCTGTAGGAACCTGGAGTTCCCCCCTAGGCTACGTAGCCATTTCACCGGAGCTCCACTCTGCCCCCACTCCACTCTCACGGGATCTCTGGGAGCCCCTTGCCTCGTCTGGGACACAGCCAGAGTCCGTGGGACTGGCGGTGGCTGGTAAGCTGCTGCCTTGTGGGGAATTCTGCTCTAGGGAGCTTCCTGGTGTTCTGAATGCTGGGCAGGACCTCCCTGCCAATGGCGAGCAGAGGCCCTCCCAGCTGGGGGGGTGCGGGACCCTGGAGTCTCCCCCCGGGCTGCAGAGCCGGATGCTGGAGCTCCACCCAGTCCCCAGGCATGTCCATGGGAAGTCCGGGCACCCCCTGCACCGACCCGTGCAGGGCTGGAGACCGTGGGCCCAGCCACAGCTGGCAGTCTGGTGCTGTGCCGGAGAATCCGCTCCCCAGGAGCTTCCCTTTGTTTCGGTTTCTGGGAAGAGCCTCTCTGCTAATGGTGTGCAGAGGCTTTCCCTGCCGGGAGGGTGCGGAACCCCGGAGCCTCCCCCCAGGCCGCAGAGCCGGGTGCTGGAGCTCCAACCATGTCCCCAAGCACATCCACGGGAAGTCCGGGCGCCCCCTGCACGAACCCGTGCACCAGAGACCGTGGACCCAGCAGCAGCTGGCGGTCTGGTGCAGTGCCGGGGAATCTGCCCGCCGGGAGCTTCCCTTTGTTCTGGATTCTGGGGGGGGGCCTCCCAGCTAATGGTGAGCAGAGGCTTTCCCCTCTGGGGGGGTGCAGGACCCTGGAGCCTCCCCCTGAGCCACAGAGCCGGGCGCTGGAGCTCCAACCCTGTCCCCAAGCACGTCCACGGGAAGTGCAGGCACCCCCTGCACCGACCCGTGTGCCAGACACTGTGGGCCCAGCAGCAGCAGGCGGTCTGGTGCCATGCCGGGGAATCCGCTTGCTGGGAGCTTTCTTTTATTCTGGTTTCTGGGTGGGGCCTCCCTGCTAATGGCGAGTGGAGGCCTTCCCTGCCGGTGGGTGCGGGACCCTGGGGATTCCCCCTGGGCTTAGGTGTAATCACGGGGGGCTTGGGTAGGGCTGTTGTCACATGTTTCCACCGTCGCTCCGCTGGTGAGTGCACACTCCCGCCCTTGGTGTGTGGCAATGCTATGGGGGAGTCCGCTGGAAGAGAGCCTCTTGCAGGAACTAGGCTCTCCGGGGGTCGGGGGTCAGGGGTCGGAGAGTTTTCACCTATTTCCACCTCCTCCCGGAGGGAAGTCCGTCGGCCTTCCGATGTATAGGAGCACGAGTCTCTTACATGTCTTGAGATGCTATCTGGATATCCTTTGTTAATCCGTGACTGTCCAATTAGTTGTAGATTCCACGGGCGAGAGACAAAGAAGACCACTCACTCTGCCATCTTGGTCCCGCCCCCTTTACAATTCTTTTGGGCTGGAAGATAAACCAGGTCCCTGTTACTCTATTTTGGCTGGGGCAGAAATCCCTCCATCAGCTCTTGACTTCACGACTTCATCCACTGTTTCCCACTCTGACCCATTCTCTGCCCAACAGCTGTATTTTCTTTAAAAAAAAAACCTGTCATTCAAAATTTAAAATCTAATTATATCACTTTCTAGCTTAACATTTTTCAAGGCTTCCATGGCTCTGAGAATAGAGACCAAAACCTTGAGCACAGCTTGCACGGCACTACACACTCTGTTTCATGCTCACCTCTTTAGTCTCATTTAGCCCCACTCTCCCTCTTGCTCCCCAATCTCTAGCTTCACTATATGGTCCCTGGTGCCTCAGGGCATTTGCACATGCTATTTCTTCTGCTGAAATGCTTTTTCCAAATCCCTCTCACTTCTACTTAGATGACAATCACATCTTCCTCAAAGAAGTCCCCCATGATGCCTCAAACTAGATAGAGCAGATTTTCCTGCCATCCTCAGCTCTCAGTACTTTTGCTTCACCTCACATTTTCTCTGATTTTATTATATGCCCACCTGCTTATTTGATTGTTGGACTTCCCTGCTAGATTTTAAGCTCCAGGAGATTGCAGAGTGTGTCTGTCTTGTTCTTCATTGCAGCTACAGTATCTGGCACAGGGCCTCATAGAGAGTGATGAATTAATGGATACATGAGGGAAAGTACAGCAGATACTGTCCCTGCCTACCCACATCCCCTCAGCCTTCCCCATCCCCTTGTGCAAGGAAGGCTTCTTAGGGAGAGTACCTGGGATTCTCCATCTGAGGGCTCTCTCCACAGGTGAGGGCTCTCTCCACAGGTGTGGGGCAGACGGAAGCGCTGAGACTCCCGGAAACAGCTCCCGCTGAAATGAACGGGAGCTGGAGTATCAAAGGCTCCCTCCCACCCCGCTCGGCAAGGCGGCGATGCGGATGATCCCGTGTGGTCTCCAGAGCTACCCTGCGGGCTGAACCACTGCGTCCCCCAGTGGTGGTATTAATTCACCCTATATTGGTTTCATACCCTTCCCTGTCTCGCTTCTCTGCTCCCTGGCTGGGGCTTCTTGGGACCAGGACTCAAATAAACTGCTTGCTCTCAAATTCTTGTTTTGGGGGGAACCCAACTTAAGAGGATGATACAACAAATGGAAGTCATAGAGGGGAGAGAGATCTCTGCAGGTGGGGATGATCTGAACAGTTTTTATGCAGCATCCAGTGTGTAAATTGGGCTTTGAAAGCCTGGAATTGGGGAAGGAACATCGAGGGAGTCCTACATGCAAATCTTCAAAGGAGAGGTGTGGGTAGTGAACAGCCTGCACTGGATTTCCTTGCCTGCCCCAGGGAAGGATGACTGTTCTGCTCTAACAAGCTATCTTTGGTTTGTTTTAAGAATTCTCTTCCCTCATCATCAGGAATAATCTTCCTCTTCTGAAATGATGAATCTTAATGTGCCAGTGAGCTCATTTGCTCCGTAGGTCACATTGCTTAAGTCAGTCTTATTACTATTTCTGCTTTTACAAAATGCCTCTTTCACAAGCCAGCATCAAGGACTTTACAGAAGAACAAAATATGGGACAGAGCAAGTCCAAGAGCCTGGTCTCCACCCCAAAAGTCAGGTCAAGGGCTGGCAATTCCTCCTGTGAACTAGGGAGGGGGTGATGGCAATCCGATGAGAGTAAGACAAAGAGAGGGTTTCTTTTTCCTCCATAATCACTTAGAACGTCTGTCAGAACATTGCCCCCATCCATCTTGGCTGTGAACCAGGTAGATTCAATCAGACTAAAAGAGTTTTTCCAAAAATAAAGGAAGCAAATCCAGCAAGCCTTCAATCTTATCTTTGATGGATGTCACTTGGCCAGAATGCCTTCTCTGAAGTTACGTAGTCTGAAAATGCACATTCATGATGCCCCCAAATATTGATAAATATTCCAAATGATACATTGGCCAGAGTGTTTGGCAAATGAAGGAGATTATTGAAGGACTGCGTTCCCCATGTAGAAGCAGAGACCCAGGGCTCCCTCTTGACTTCAGCGGGAGACTGCCAGCTTTGGGCAATGCTCTTCCACGCAGCATCTGGGGGAAAGGCAACTCTGCCTAGCAGAGCCTCCACAAACTGCCACCCTAATCTGCAGGTGTGTCCTTGCTAGGATTAGTATGCAGTACACAGAAGACTGTTCAGGTTGTTTGAAAAGAAAATACAGAGTCCCGGCCATTCAACTGAGTGTTCACTGTTATCTTCCAAGTTTGTTCAGGGCATCATCCGAGGCAGAGACATTATCCATTTTCTGACTCTTGGAGGTTTCATCTGGATATAATGCATTCTCCAGTCCTGCTGCCTCTGGACAATGGACCAAAACTTGGTGAACCTGATGGAGATACACAGTGGAAACTAAGTCAGGGACTACAGACGACTCTGGAGCTTGTAAAGGGCTGGCTTATTCAGAGGTTTCAACAGGTAGAGTTGAGGCTAAGTGAAGTTGGTCATTCAAGCAGATTGAAAAGACCCTCTGGGAGAAGTGAGATGAACGATAGGGAGAATAAAATTTAAAGATCAACCTCTCATTAATGGATCCTCCCCCACTCTCTCCTTGCCTGCTCTCTTTAAGGACCTTGAGTTGGAACTCCTCCTCAGCCTTGAAGGGCCAGCTGGAAAGGTACCAGTGGTTAATACATGTTAATGTTAACGTGGATTAAACACTTACCATGTGACAGACAGTGTTCTAACAGCTTCACAGCTTTATTCTATTGAATTTTCACCCTGCTACGTGATAAGACAGAGAAGAACGTCTTAGAACCTGGCAATAGAATTCTTCTTATGAAGGGGACTGTCTTTTGAAAAGCAGCTACTTTTCTCCTTTTCATACGCCCCGTGGGCTGCCCATTCCCAGTAGGAGGGTCCCTTGCCCTCCCTGTGAGCAGTGCGGAGTTGAATATTCTCTCTGAGCTGGCTTCCCCTGGCCTTTGCTGCACAGTGCAAGACTGCTCTCCAATCTCCAAGCTCACCTTCTCTCGTTTCTCAGCTGTCGGGTCCTCCTGCTTCCTTCAGAGATGACCAGCAACACTATTGTCCCAATCACATCCTTCACTATGTTGTTTGCTCCCCACAGCCCTTTGAAGGCAGTATTTTATCTTTTGAGAACGTAAGGATGGGAAAGGAGAGAAAGCGACTCTCTGTTCTTTTCCAATATGCTACTTTATCAGTTTGATTCATCACTAATAGTGATGGAAAACTTACTCAAACTGGACCAAGTAAAAAGAAAAAAAGGAGAGGAGTTGATTGATTGGTTCATGTTTCTGAAAAGCCCAGGATTTTTAGCTTCAGGTCTGGCTGGATCCAGGGGTTCAAGTAGTCTCTCACTTTTGCTTTCTTTCATTTTTCTCCTCATCTCTTTATTCCATTCTTTTATTCTCCAGTAGGTCTCACCTTAAGGTGCCTCTTAGCATATCCAGGCTCACACACCTAATGACCTAGAGGAAAGGGCTTCTCTTTCCCAGGAGATACAACGCAAGTCCTGGAATTGAGGCTCAATGCCCACTTCTGAACCAAATCCTGGGGTCAGGGGGTGGGATGGCTGTGATTTGCCATGACTGGGTCATATCCCACCCCTGGCACTGGGTTCAAGCCCAGCCTACTCAAACCACATGGACGGAGGTAGAAAGACAGCTTTCCATATGAACTCTGGGGAGCGTATCCACAAGAAGAATGGATACTGGGTGCACTGAAACAAGAAATGTCCGCTGTTCTGCCTTTATAGCCAGCACACGCCTTCCCTGCCACTGATGCAGAGCACTGTGCAAACTTGTAAGACTCCCCTGGGATGACTCTCCAAGGAAAATTTCCCTCCACTGTGGCTATTTCAACAGTCAGGGCTATAAAAATTATCATTTCCCCCATCTCTATAATATCACAACTTCTATGGTTATAGAAGGAGCCCTTCTTCTTCAAATGCCTCATTAATGTGGAGAAAGCACAAAGCTGTAGTCGGATGATAACTCAGGCCTTCTTCCTCCCCGTGGATGGGGCTGTTCCCGTACAAATCTCCAACAATTCTCCTCCCAGGCATCTTTTCAGATTTTCACTCACAAAGAGCCTGCGGTGGATGGAGCCACCATACGCTTTGAGCTATTTGTGCCGTGTCTTTACAGACAGGCCGGCAGGGGCCCCTCGAGACTCAGCCCGAGGCTCTGGAGGACGCAGCAGGCCCCACTCGTGACATGCCAGCTGAGTACCGCTGGATGCCCTTCTGGTACAGACTGTGACACTGAGAGACGACTGCTGTCAACAGGGGAACGGTGATGGCCTCAGAGTGTCTGAGAAGCTGTCGTAAGGCAGACAATCTCCAACACGCAGATGCAGAAGGTCTCCATCTCCACTGCCCCTTCCCCTCTCGGGCTCAGCGTCCTCCTCTGAGGATGAAGGGTGGACTCGATTGTCTTCGAGAGTCTCGGGTGTCAACAGCCACGTGCTGAGCTTGCCTCGCCTGCTTCCTCTACCCAGAAAAGAACACAAGGAAGACCTTTATTCAACCTCAGGGAGGACCTGCCCACCCTCTCACGCCCTGGCGAGTGGTTACTTTGGGAGGGCTGGCTACAGGGGACACATTTAGGCTCCTCTCCCTGTTTCTGTGCTCTGCTTGAGAGACAGGACTCCCCGCCATGCTTCTGCTCCCCGTCTATGCCCACCTCTTCCCCAGGGAGGGAGGTTGCTCACCCGACGGGCCAGGGCCTGATGTTCACTGGGACGTTGCACTCGGCAAAAATGTATTTCCATGAGCCCTTTCCTGCCGCAATAACAGCTTGTAGTGTGTAAGCATATGCACACAGGTGAGAACGTGAGAACGTGTGCTTCTCCAGGAGAAATTCCTGGCAGGGGAACCTGAGTCAAGAGGTAAGGTGCACTTAAATTTTTAAATTTGGACAGCTCTTTCTGAATTGTCCTCCAAAAAGGCTGTACCTCATGGCAGAGAGTGCTAGTAATCTACCCAATATCCATGCTCCCTTACTCCCTTAGTAATCCAAAAGCTGCATTTCTGGGCCGTCCTTGCAGATATGGGTGGCCAATGAGATGTAAGCAGAAGTTTTGAGTGAGACGTCTCTGAAAGTCTCTTGCTTCCAGTCCTTCCTCTTCTTCCTGAATGGGTCCCTATTGTGACGGCTGGAGCTGGAGCTATAGCAGCCTTGTTGTGACCTTGAGGATGGAAGCTGTGCACTAAGGATGAGGGAGCAGGAAGGCCAAATGAGTCTAGGTCCTTGAAAGCCCTCTTAGAGTTTTCAAACAGCTCTAGGCTGTTTGTCAGATGTAAGCAAAGTCCTAATTGTTCTAAGCTATGTCAATCAGGCCTCTGCTGCTAACAGCCTGATGCAGTCCCTGACTGATTCTCACTACTTTATGTCCTCACCTAGAACGTATGACTGCACTGTTCCCCTCATACCCTCACCAACATTAGGTATTACAATGTACCCTATTTTTGACCATTAAGTTTCCAGCGAAGTTATCTTGCAAGAAATTCAGAATGTGGGGCTGGAGAAAGTGAGGTAAATTACTGAGTTGGAAATTTCAGACGCAGTGTATGTGGGGGTGGCTGCATCTATTTGAGTGAATGAGCCACCGGAGAAGACAAGCAAGTGACCCAGGACAGTCCTGCAGGGTGTGGGGAGGCCAGGTCATGGGGTTCTCAGTCATGTATTTCCCAGGCGTGTGCACCAAACGTGTTTTCTCTTCCGTGTGACCCAGCATTTTGCCACTAGAGGATGTGTCTTCCTTCCCTCCCGCATTCAGAATGAAATCTTCTTCCGCAAGCCTGCTTGGGCAGGGCCATTCAAACAACTGTCACTGACAGGAGCAGAGGGAGAAGGGCAGTGTTGGGGGCGAGGAAATGAAAGGACGGGGTGATTGCGAACTATGCAAATTTTACATGTTTTCCTCCAAAGCTTAAAGTTTCCTAAAGGCATTGCAATCATTTCAGTTTCAGTTTCAGGAAATGAATGTGTCTTGTATAATTACCCTCCCTCTAATTATCCGTAAAGTCGATGTATGGGGGGCCTCCCCAAAGCCCCCCTTACCCCTCCTGCCCATGCTGCCGGTGAGCGCCCACGTGGAAGGGAAGGGGGGTGGCCCCGTGGCAAACAGACTTGGCAGCTCAAATGCTCACAAAACTGCCTACCATGCCATCGGGGGCTGGGCAATTGCAACCCTGAATTAAAAACACACAACAGGGAAGGTTTACAGAAACTGCATTTTCTCAAAAGCAATTATTAAATTTTAAAAAGCATGTTTTTAAAGCCCTTCAAAACCTCGTTCTGTTGCCATATCTGAGAAGCCAGCCCTGGACTGACGGCAGGGTGGAGGGCTCTCCTTCTGTGCCTCTTCTCGTCCTCCAGCTCCTGATCCGGGTGCAGATTCCATCGGGATCATCTGGCTCCCTGTTTCTCCATGTGCTTTGAGTCTGAGCATTCTTTAAAGATCCTAATAAATGCATAGCTTTCAAACTTAGTAGAGTTACAACAAGTTGCTAGAGTTTCCTCATTCATTCATTCAACAAACACACACTTTTTCTATCTTATATATTTTTTGAAGGGCTAATACGTATAGGACCACCCTGAATCAGGACAGCAGAAGCAAGGCTGGAAGAGGAAGCGGGGGGGGGGGGGGGGGGGGGGGGGTGGGGTGGGGGGATAAACACGGCAGGAATTGACACGACGGTCAGGGAGGAGGGAGAGGAAGCAGAAGCGGTGAATGTGGCCTGGAGTTTCAAGCCCCTGGAGGGAACGGAGAGGCTGGTGTGGAGTCACACAAAGCCAGGTTCCATTTCCATCCGGCTACACGGCCTTGAGCAAGATATTGAATGACTCCCAGCTTCAGTTTTCTCATCTGTAAACCGGGAACAAAAGCCATCTACTGCATAAGGTTGTAGTGAGAATTAAATGAGATTTCTATCTAAAGCCAAGCTCACAACAGGTACTGAACAGATAGTATCTTTTATTTTTATCTTTATATTTTTTTGGAAGATTAGCCATGAGCTAACACCTGCTGCCAATCCTCCTCTTTTTGCTGAGGAAGACTGGCCCTTAGCTGACATCCATACCCATCTTCCTCTCCTTTTTATACGTGGGATGCCAGCCACAGCATGGCTTGCCAAGCAGTGTGTAGGTCCATAATCAGGATCTGAACTGGCGAACCCCAGGCCACTGAAGCAGAACATGTGAACTTAATCACTGCACCACTGGGCCGGCCAGTATCTTTTATTGTCGTTGTGTTAAGTAGCCTCCAAGAAGGTCTCCAGAGACCTTGGTGGTCACACCCTTGCACAGTCCCCTTGCACCCTGAATCCGTGCTGACCCATGTGAACAGTGGAATACTGCAGAAGGGGCAGTGCGTGCGGCTTCTGAGACTTCTGAAGCTAGGTTAGAAGGTTTTCTTCTGCCTCGGTCTCTTCTCAGCTTCTGCTGGGTCTCTCGGATTGCTTGCTCTGGGGGGAAGCAAACTGCCTTGCCAGGAGGACACTCGAGACCGCACAGAGGGGCCCACATGAAGAGGAACAAACTTTCCAGCCCCCTGAGCTAGCCCCCTGGGGAGCAGGTCCTCCAGCCTCAGTCCAGCGTTCAGCTGACTGCAGCCTCAGCCGACATCTGACTGAGATGGAAGACCCTGAGCCAGAAGCAACCAGCCCAGTCACTTCCGGATTCTCGACCCAGAGAAACTGCAAGGTATAATGCATGATTATTGCTGTTTTTAAGCCACTAAGTCTTGGGGTGATTTGATATACAGCACTAGATAACTCTACAGGAGGAGATTAATTATCTAATGCTACATAACCATATTCCAAAACTTACTGGCTCGAAAATAACAAAGATCGTTTATTATTTATTGTGGCTTCTGTGAGTCAAAAATTTAAACAAGGCAGAGCAGGAATAGCTTCTCTCTGCTCTATGATGCCTGGGGATCAGCCGAGGTGGCTTGAAGGCTGGAGGCTGAAAACACCTGAGGGCTCATTCACTGGCGTCTGGCAATTATTACTGGTTGTCAGTGGAAGGCCTAGCTGGGCTGCTGGCTGGTCCACCCATTGTTATAGAATGAATTGTGTCCCCCTGCAATTCATGTATTGAAGCCTTAACTCCCCGTATCTCAGAATGAGATGGTATTTGGAGATAAGGCCTTTAAGAGGTACTTAAGTCAAAATGAGGCCATTAGGGTAGGCCCCAGTCCAATCTGACTGGTGTCCTGAAAAGAAGAGGAAGAGACACCAGGAATGCTTACGCACAGAGAAAAGACCACGTGAGGACACAGGGAGAAGGCAGCCATCTGTGAGCCAAGGAGAGAGGCCTCAGGAGAAACCAAACCTGCCATCACCTTGATCTTGGGCTTCCAGCCTCCAGAACTGCAAGAAAATGAATTTCTATAGTTTAAGCCACTCGGCCTGTGGTATTGTGTTATGGCGGCCCCAGCAGACTAATCTATCCATGCACGTCCTTTCCACGTGGCCCGAACTTCCTTACAACATGGTGGCTATGTTCCAAAGGTAACCACACACACACACTGAGAAAGAGAGAGAGAGGTGGACAAGTCCTATTGTTTTTATGACCTAGTTTTAGAAGTCATGTAGCACCACTTCTGAAATATTCTATTTATTAGAAGTGAGTCGTTAAGTTATGCCACTAAGTGAGTCACTAAGTTATTCAAAGGAAAGGGAATTCGACTCCCCCTTTTGAAGGAAGGAGTGCAAAATAATTTGCAGATATATTTTAAACCATCCCCATCATTACCATCACCATCATGTTCATCACATAGATTTTAAGATCCTGGCTGGCCAGCTCGGGGGAGATGTGCCCCAAGCAACTTGATCAGGAATGTGGATCGGGAACTCGTGGCTGAAGATGTGGATTTGGGAGTCATCTACCTAGAGAAATAGAAAGGGAATGTGACCCCAGGGAAAGGGAGAGAGGTTCAGCCTTGAGGAATGCCAAAACCAGCTTGGTGCTGCATAAGTATTATTGGTTTATTGAAAGTATTGGGAAAGACCTCAAAAAGCCAGCTACTCAGCCCATCTCGGATATTTACTAAAAAGGAAAGTACTTGTTTTTCCCAGTCTATTAAAGCTTCCTACAAGCAAATAAGGCACCACCTGCTGCTCCAGCACCAGAATAGTTTTTAAAACATGACGGACTCGTAAGATGACATATCACCATTGTCTGTAAACTGGATCCTAGGCAACCCGAAGGCTGTGTCCCTTGGAATCCTAACCAGAAGACTCTCCTTTCACAAGAACCCCATCCCCTCCCGCCTCCAATAATGGGCTGCTCTCTGGGGCTGCTTGCTGCCTCTCTCCATCCTCTGACCATCACGGGCTTTGTTGTGGAAAACCATAAACTCAACATAGGAGTTTTTTAAAAACTAAAAGCAACTTAAATTTAAAATCACAAAACAATACATGCTCATTGCAGAAAAAAACATATACAGGTAATCAACAAGATGAAAATAAAAGTCACCTGTAATCTCACCACACAGGGTGTATGCTGATATCCTTCTGGACTCTTTTCCATGCACAAATATACTCTTTTAAAAAAGAGATCATATTGAATGTTTTGGTGCTTTTTTCATTACATATGACATAGCGGGAAATGTCTTCCACAGCATTAAGTAAATATTTTTTTGCAACATCCTTTTACTGGTTACTTAGATGGCCCATGATTTTATTTAATCAATCCCATAGGCTGAGGAATTAAGTAATTTCTAAGTTTTTGTTTGTTTCCTTCTTTTTTAAAACTTTTTATTTTGAAGTAATTATAGACACACAAGAAGTCACAAAGAGAGTGCAGAAAGGTTCCATGCACCTTCTTCATTCAGTTTCCCCCAATGATTACATCTTACGTGATTACAGTTCAATAACAAAACCAGGTATTTGACATTGGTATAAAGTTGTGTATAGCTCTTTCTCATTTTATCCTATGTGTAGAGTCATATAACCACCGCCACAATCAAGATAGAGAACTATGGTTGTGCGTCACTTAACTGGGATACGTTCTGAGAAATGCGTTGTTAGGCGATTTTGTCGTGTGAACATCATAGAGAGTACTAACACAAACCTTGATGGTATAGCCTACTACACACCTAGGCTGTATGGTACTAATCTTATGGGACCACCGTCATATATGCGGTCCATCATTGACTGAAATGTTGTTGGGGGCACATGACTGTATTTCATCACCTCAAAGATCTCCCACTTGCTACCCCTATATAGTCACCACTTCCCCCACTACCCTCTCCATAATTCCTGACAGCCACTGATCTATTCTCCATCTCCGTAGTTTTGTCATTTCACAAACGTTACATAAATCAAATCATATAGTATGTAACCCTTTGTGATTAACTTATTTTCACTCAGCATAATGCCTTTGAGACTTATCCAAGTTGTTTCATGTATCAATTGTCCATTCCTTTTTATTGCTGAATAATAGTCTATGATAGGGGTGGACTACAGTGTGTTTAACCATTCATCTACTGAGGGCCATTTGTTTGTTTCCGAGCCGGCACTATCACAAATAAGCAGCTGTGAACAATCGGTGCAAGTTTTTGTGTGGACATGAGTTTTCATTTCCCTGGGGTAAATGCCTAGGGGTGCAACTGGTAAGTCATATGGTAAGTGTATGTTTAGTTTTTTAAGAAACTACCAAACTATTTCCACTAGCAATGTATGAGAGATCCAGTTCTCTGCATACTCACCAGCATTTGGTATTGCCATTATTTTTTAATTTAGCTCTTCTCATGCGTGTGTAGTGACAGCTCATCACGGTCTTAATTTGCATTTCCCTAACAGCTAGTGATGTGGAACATTTTCTATGTGTTTGTTTGCTATATGAAAATGCTCTTCCGTAAAATATCTATTCAAGTCTTTTGTTAATTTTTGCATTTATGTCCCAGGATACAGTTTATTTTAATATATATATTGTGGGTGCTTGACAAGAATGTGCATTCTGTGTTGTTCGGTAAAGTGTTCTGTAAATGTTGATTAGATCCTGTTGGTTTTGGACGTTAGTGAGTTTTTCTATAATCTTGCTGACTTTCTGTTCAGTTTTTCTATCAATTGTCGAGAGAGGGATGTTGACGTCTCTAATTATAATTGCAGATTTGTCTAGTTCTATCAGTATTTGATTCATTTATTTTGAGGCTTTCTTAGGTACATTCACATTTAGGATTATTATGTCTTCTTGGCGAATTGACTCTTTTATCATTACATAATATCCCTTTTTATCCCTGGTAATTTTCCTTGCTCTTGATTCTATTTTGTCTGAAATTAATATAGCCACTCCAACCTTTTAATTTATTATCATTATAGAGAATACTGTTCAACCTTTGCACTCATCTACGATTATTAGAATTTCTGGGTTAGAGGCCTGCATGTTTTTAAAGGCTTTTGACTGTATTGTCAAACTGCCCTGCATAAATTTACCAACTTACTACCTCAACACCTGGGCATTATCATTTAAAATAATAAATGAAGGACAGGTTTTTCCCAATTCAATAGACAGAAATGTTATCTTATAATCCAATGTGGGTGCAGGTAGTCCTGGTCAGGGCCAATCTAAATGAGTGAAATTCTCATCTATCCTAGCAAAAAGTCAAGAGGT